TTATGTTACTCTTATTTGTAGTGTAGACTATCTATAACATTTCAAACACTGTGAAATCACGAATGATCACATTCAAAAGATCACTGCAGAGAAATACAGGCAGGATGTTTATTACTTAGTTAAAAGCATAGCTGACTAGAAACCTCTCGCCTCCTATTCTCTCTCAGGTATTGGAACTGTCCCCGTCGGCCGTGTTGAGACCGGTATCCTGAAGCCCGGTATGGTCGTCACCTTCGCTCCCCCTAACCTGACCACTGAGGTGAAGTCTGTGGAGATGCACCATGAGTCTCTGTCTGAAGCTCTCCCTGGAGACAACGTTGGCTTCAACATCAAGAACGTGTCCGTCAAGGAGATCCGCCGTGGAAATGTGGCTGGCGACAGCAAGAACGACCCTCCCATGGCGGCCGATAACTTCACCGCCCAGGTGAGTCTCAGGAAAAAGGAACAACTGAATAGGAGGAACTCATTTTGGGTTATTGTAGGTTTTTTTCAGAAGCTTCTTTTATGTAAATTGATACAATACACATGTACTAATTTTTGTCCCATGGTGATTTTATGTGTAAGTAAATGTTTTTATTGGAGCCTTTTTTTAAAACTCTAATTTACAGACCTTCACAGTCCTATGTAATTATTCATGCAATAATACTGTATACCTATTAGTCTAAACAATAATTGCTAAAATAATTTTAAAATGTTCTTGTGTTTTTAAACCAAAAGGCCATTTTATTCAAAAAATGGGAAATTAATCACTAGTTGTAAATACAAATCCCAACCAAAGAACAATTAGCAATCCCTGTGGCTATTTAATTGTTGGTATTGAAAGTATCCGCAGTAATCACCATGTAGTAAAAGTTTCGGCAGTAGAAGTACGCAAGTTTTATCAGCTTCATGTAGTAAAAGGATCTGCAGTAAAAGTACACAAGTGTCAATTAATTAACTGCCCCGTTACTCCTTCTGTCAAACAAAACAGATTTTCTTTCACTAGCTGAAATCTACTAGTTTTAGTTGAGTGGAAAAGTTCATTCTTGACCTTGAAAACAGTAATATGACAAAAAAATAGTGCCTCAAGCAAGGTCCATCCCCTGAAGATGACTGTGATGTACGGTTGGCTTGATGATGTCACGCGATATCATTGGGATTATCTCTGTTTTGGCTTAAGCAATAAATGTTTTAGCAGAGAGCCCACGTTATAAACTGAAGGTGTGTGGTTTGAAAGAAGTAGGTATTTATGGGTGGTAGTGGTTGTATGAATTCCATTATTGAGCTGCATTATGGGAAATGTCAGATTCAGTTTTATTTGGAGCCATAAAGGAAGTCAGGATATCTGCTGCTTCAATTTGAAGAAGAAGAGTTTTATTAAATCACTGGAATACCCCTTTAAATTAAGGAAGCATTTTGTACTGAGGTATGTAGTTATCAATAAACATCTGTTGATCTCTTGCTAACCCTTAAAGAGCCAAGTGAGTGCATGCCTCTATCTGTAATTAAAGTTTACTTTACAATTACTGTGGAAAAATGTATTTCCCATTCCCACCAACACTATTACACAGTACTGTCTCTGTTAGGCAACACAACATTCAGTCTACCACCATCTACCTTCGTGGTCTCCAGCACTTCCAGTCCACATCCTTAGATGATCTCAGATGTTGCTCTTTTAACCCCACCCTCCATGTCTCTTCCTCTGCAGGTCATCATCCTCAACCACCCCGGCCAGATCTCCCAGGGTTATGCCCCTGTGCTGGACTGCCACACCGCTCACATTGCCTGCAAGTTCAGCGAGCTCAAGGAGAAGATCGACCGTCGTTCCGGCAAGAAGCTTGAGGACAACCCCAAGGCTCTCAAGTCTGGAGACGCTGCTATTATCACCATGGTGCCCGGAAAGCCCATGTGTGTTGAGAGCTTCTCCCAGTATCCCCCATTGGGTGAGTGAAATACAGTTTTTGTTGATACAAGAATTTGTTTGTAGGTCTTTTCCACAGAAGACACTTTGACATATCATTGCAGAACAAAACATTCTTGATGATTGTAATCTGGTTTGGTGAGCAGGTCTCAGGGTCCTGGTGAAATGTATGCTGGTTTTGCTTACTGGGACACTTAAATGCAATAGATCCATAATTCATGTTATCATTTACACCTGTGCTTTTCTTGCTGTGACAAGTCAAATAGTCTGCTGTGAAAAAAAAATCTATTTAAAAGCTGCTCTAATCAATAATTTATAGGAATAAAGGATTAAATAAGGTATAAAACCTACTGAGAATTTGCCACTCAACTCTGCAGTTTCCCTGTTTTCTTTTAACGCCTTTCAGCTTATGGTTTTTTTTATCGGCTCCCAACTCTGTTCTCATCAATCTTGTTTTAGCTGGTACCTGAAGTTAGCAGCTTGAGAGCCAGATTTTTCCTCTCAGAAGTTAGTAGGGACCAAAATCAGAGGTAAAGAGACATTCATCAGGGTGAGGCAGTTTATTTGTATTTTAATTAACAAAAGGTGGCAGCAAAAAGAAAAATCTTTGGCCTTTAAAATTTAATTTAAAAGAGTTTTAAGACCGAATGCTGCTTCTCCATGTTTAGCTTTGACTATGAGGACAGTAAGCAGACCTGACTCGAAGACCTGAGAGGTCTTGATGGTTCATAACGGAGAAGATGATCAGATTTCGCCCTGAATGATTCACTGCTTTATAAACCAACTGCAGTGTTTTAAATTCAATTCTTTGACAGACAGGAGGCCAGTGTTAAGACAGATATTTCAAATGAATTATAATGTTGCTCCTGGTCTTCCACTAACTTGTGTCTGTTCCCCTTCTATATTTAATCTGGTGTTTTATATTTGTTTTATTTATTTAATTCTATTTGATTTATATATTTGGCTGTCAAGCACTTTATGACTAATGTCTATGAAAGGTGCTTTATACGTAGACTTAGTTTGCTGCTTGAAGTGGATTTCTCACTATTCCCCATAACAACTTAAACATGCTAACATTAGATGTTGTGTTATGAGGTTGTTCTGCTGGCTAATAATTTAACTGAAAAGGCATTTTTTGGGTAAAGACCGGTTGTTCAGGAGCTGGAGCTGCTTTCTTTCTCTTTGATTTATGATTCAATTATAGTGCTGGTGTGCATTTTAATAAATGACTTAAATACAAAATTGACTTGGGTCGCGCATGTCACTAATTTAAATAACTGCTTCAAAGCATATTTATCATTAACATTGATTCAGAAGATTGATGTAATAAATTATTAAGCATATCCATCCCTAGTACAAGGACAGGTGGACAAACATGGATTTACCTGATCTTGAAATCTAACAAAAAGTATGACTTGTCATAATCCAGAATCAAATTAACAACTTTTTAAAAATAATTTGTAATACAAGTTCAAGACATAAAATTACTAAATCACACTATTCTAACTCTTTTACTTTCCACTTACTTTTCTAATGGTATTTTTATGCCTAATGTTGAAAAGTACTTATCTTTAGTATAATGTGCACTGTACTGTAGGTTCACGCCATGGTTCACGCCCACCAGACTCATGTCACAGTCATCTTTTCAGCCTCTCACTGACGCTTGTGTCTCCCTTTTCTTGTCCATCTCTTCCTCCCAGGTCGCTTTGCCGTGCGTGACATGAGGCAGACTGTGGCTGTTGGTGTCATCAAGTCTGTTGAGAAGAAGGTCGCCACCGGTGGAAAGGTCACTAAGTCTGCGCAGAAGGCTGAAAAGAAGAAATGAATTCTCATGCAGGACGTCCAACAAAAAGTCATGTCTCAGCAGCAGCGGGCCGCCCCATCTCATCTTCCCTTCCACCCAGCGTCGTCTTCTCTGAGGCAGAGCTCTCTACTCAAGGACTGGCTTATGCTGATTAAAACCCATCGGAAAAGTTTCCGCAGGAAAGGAAGGCTTGTGCCTTTTAGAAGAACCTATGATCATAATTAAGTTGAAACCAAAACAATAAAAATCTTAAACATTGCCAAATGAAAATGTTTCTGTTGTGCTTCATTACAAGTATTTAAACATAAACATAGCAGAATATGTTTATACTTGGTCACAACATATTATCAGTTTTAGGCCTTTTCTTATTTATTCTGTAGATTATCAATGTTAAAAGAGTATATGTTTCATATGAAGCGTTTTTTTGATATTGACATATATACATGTTTGTTATATACTGTAACTATAAGTACCAGGTTTACAAGGCGAGACACGTTTTTGGGGTGTGTTCTATAAATTATAACAAACAAGAACAGACTGGTAAAACTTGTTGGTAAGTGTTTGTGAAACCAGAGTATAATTAATAGTATAATTATCCATGTCAAGAACTGTGCACCGAACACGCATCGATCTTTGAGGGGCAAAATCAATCCAATGAGGAGGAGGAGAGGTGTTGTCTTCAGATTACTTTTACAGAAATGAAAACATGTGAAGGTACAGATAGAGCAGGAAAAGACAAACATCCACCACCTCAACCAGGTGAGTTTATACACTTTGATATTGAGATTGGACACAAACATATTCTTTTTTTAAACTGAGATTTTCAAAAAAAAAAACTAAAAAAAAAAACCATAGTTAAAACCACCATAGTTAAAACCACCATAATTTAAGGTATTGGATTACATGTTTAGTTTCAAATAGACTGTGATGGTTTATAAGAATTTCCAGTGTAAGGTCAACCATTTTTTTAATGGTTTCTTTAATACTCTGTACTCTTTAAGATTGAGAAATTATCTTCACATTGGCTATTCTTGCCTACAATATACCAAAAAATGCTTTATCACATAACTCAAACCAACAATTAACTAATAAGGAATTGACTGTCCTGCCACACTTTTCCTTCGATCAAATGAAACTGCCTTTTTGCTCACAAATGGAATGAAAAGAACTGAATGACTAATCTCAATGTTAATAAATTGCTTCAATGATACTAAAGAAATATATTAAGGTTGCAAGAACTGTAAAATATCTCTGAAGAAAGTTGTGAGTGATTCCAGCTGAGGTAAACATAAACCTCTGTTGACCTCTGCTGTCTACTAGTAGGAACTGCAATGATCTCATCACCTTTTCTAAATGCACTTTTAAACACTAGCCTTCTATTTCAGGTTATCATCCTGAACCACCCGGCCAGAGGGTTACCCACCTGTGCTGGATTGCCACACAGCTCACATTGCTTGCAAGTTCAAGGAGCTCGTCGAGAAACTGGAGCCTTCAGAACCCGTGTTTTTATCAGAGCTTTTATCCATCACTGGGTGAGTAAAATGTTTTTTCTTCCTAATCCTCTGCATTTAAAGGTTTAACAGTGAAAAGAAGAGATTAGGCAGCTTTAAGTGTCCAGCTGTTCATCAAGCACTTCCACTGCCTCAGAACTTTAAACTGCTTTTATCACTACGCTTTACCTGAAAATTAAATGGTTTCCATCTCTAACTCATCAACTGACACTTCAGCTGATTTTTACATTTCAACTGACTCTGAAGAGGACAACTCACTACTTCTTTAAATTAGTTGTTTTCTTAGTGGGGTCTGGGGACCCCCAGGGGTCCTTGAGCGTGTTAAATTGCAGAGAGTGTAAAGTAGTGAGCTTTGTTTACGGTTTTGCAAAAAGTGTGTTATAAAATTACAAGCTGAGTGTAAAGCAGAGAACGAACATTAAGTTTGGTTTCAGAAATAACAATTCAAGAATGACTGTCAGAAAAACCTGTAAACACCTTTTATGACCTTGCAAAAAAATATATATATTTAGATTGGATTATTGTACTGAAACAGAGCTTCTTTATCCTTTCAAAACAGGAAAACCATTAGATGATCCTCAATACTGTACTGCGTTATGGAGATATCATGTATGCTCGTATTGCTTCAGCTACACTACTTAATTGGATGCAATTTACCACTATGAACTATGTGTTTCTGGCCTGATTATACATTTCATCCAGTTATCAACAAATGGGTCCATAATTTTCTTATTAGTGTAGTTGTCTGTTGTTTATACTATTGAACTCAAGGTTAATCCATCCACGTGCCATGGCTCACTCAGTAACGGGCCATGGCATTCAACCATCACTGTCTGGTTCCACTAGTCTTACCATTAGACACTGGTTAGTAACCCCTGTGGTGTGAGGAACTTTTTATGAATTGTCACTTTAACTGTCTTACCTAAGAAAAGAACATAACATCAGTAATACATCACAGGAGGAGATTTTGAGAAGTGTATTCAGTTCTACATGTAAAGAAACTTGTCATTTATTTAGTCATTCAAAAACAATACTGTTCAAAAACACTTATGTTTACAAACTTGGATAGAAAACATATCACTACATTAATGTTGAATGATGATAAAATATATATAATAAAAAAAGATTCTTGAAAACCAAAACATTTTTAAACCGGTTTAGAAAATCAATTTGTAATGTTAAACTATTAGGTTTAACATTTAAATATCAAGCACAAAATTATCTTTTTAGTTGGTTATTTCTCGGTTATCTTCATATACAGTTACTTCAGTTTTGTTTACAGGAAGTCATCTTTTAGTTCTGTAAACCTATATAATGTGACATGTGTTTGTCAGTCAGGTCTCTGGATTCAGTTACTTAGAAAGGTTAGAGAGCTCAGAGCTGTTGTGAGGATCTGTAAGGTCAGAAACAAACTCATCTTGCACGGAACCTTTATAAAAAAGTAAATGCAAGAATCGGTCTTGAAGAAGTTAATCTCTTTTATCAACAGCATAAAGTTTGTGTCAGCTCAGTTGAAATAGAAGTAGCACAACAAAGTAAGTTGTACTTACAAGATGGAGGACATTTGGCTGAAATCAAAAAAGATAAATAAATCCTTTCTATCCTTCTGTTTAGTCCTTTCTTTTTTATTTTTTAACACTTCTCTCCCACATCATCATGGTATAGTCATACCATCATGACACACAGGCTATGAGCCTCACAGTGCTTATTGTTGTTAAATAAAAGTACTAAAAACAGCTCTAACCCTAATCCTTTATTTTTCTCTCACCTTTCTTCTTTTTGTAAGCAATGAATCCAGAGGCAATGAAGAGGATCAGAGCAAGAACAAAAACAACCACTGCAGCAGTGATGGCAAAAGTCATGTCATTGGTCTTCCCTGTTGAACAAAATAACACAAATAAAACTGAACAGATGGAGCAGGTTAGAATAGAAGTACATCCATCAGAACTAATAAGCAACAATATAAGCCTATTATATTTTCCCTGTGGTCCAAGCAGCTCGTCTCTGCTGTATTTCTGTTTCCCTCGCTTTTTTTTTGTAACAATAAAACACACTGTTAATGCTGTAGGGGAGCAGAGGAGAAGGTACTCGGGAGTGCATGTAAATGTCACATCACTTGGATTTACCTGTAAAAACCGTCCCAAGTCCTTTACAAAGAATCTTGGGAAATGTGTCCTTTTTTAAGTTACATTACAATCTGTTCACACATTGGCAATATAAAACAATTAATACATGTAAATTTGCTGATAATTTTGTTAGGCTCAGATGATCTGACCAGTGATCCTGAAGAGGACAGTGTTTTATTAAAATATTTAATTGGTTTGTATTAGTTTTATTTAAAATGAATTCCCAGCTGAATTGGAGTAAAATACTCAACCAAGTTGTTGTCTCAGCCGAATTGAAAGACAAATGATAACATACCCAACAACCAACAGATAGGCCTATGCAGTCCCATTCGTCCCCCATTAATCTCACTCTTACCCCAGTTGGTTCTGATCTTCGCTTTGTCCAGTGTGGTGATGAGGTCGTCTTTCACACCAGAGAGCTGAAACACACAGTCGTACCTCCTCCAGTCTTCAGGCGTGACTGATGAAAGATTCAGGTCAACACTCATCTGGAAGGATCCGTCGTCGTTGGGGAGGATATCTCCGTGGTCCACGTCCTCATGACGCTCCTCTCCATCTTTCCTCCAGAACATGGTGGCTCTGTCAGGGTAGAAACCTGTAGCGTGGCAGCTGACTGGAGAGGAGGGAGTCTTCTGGAGGAGAGACACTGAGGGAAGGTCTGGAGAGAGAGAGAGTTTAAAGAAAGACAAATAAAAAGCGAACAGGAAAGAAAAAAGTTAAATAAAGATGAAGAAAGTCAGTAGTGAGTCAATAATAGAAGGTGTAAAAGTTCTAAGAAAAATAAATAGGCTAAGTAAAAATTACAACAATAATGCTACTAATGATATAGATTAAGATGCAAATCATACCAAAAGGTTTTTTCTCCAAGGGCCTGGTTTTCTTGTAAACAAAAGGTACGTTTACATTCAGGGTTTCTCACCAAACGTTTTTTTAAATTTTAAATGATGCATTGTTTACTTGCTAACAGTCTTCTTCACTGCTTTTGTTGCCACGTTACTACGTTTCTTGGCACTTACTGATGCCTGTTGATCTCGGAAATAGTTTGAAACCAACAGCACGATGTGAACCACAACGTCCACGTGCCTGTGCGCATACATGTGTGTTCTTTTGCCTGTGCACAAGATACAAACAAAAGGGATCCATTTATATATATAAAAAACTTTTATAGCACTACTGGAGGTCAAAAACTCCATGGTACCTTTAAATGAACTGAAGATAAAACTCACAACAACTTGAGTTGAGGAACCTTTCTCCCAGGTGAATGCTTATATAGAAGCCCATACACCCATCTTATGAGCTGTAGAAACATGACAACCCATGTGATAAACAACCACCACATAGACAAGAGAAGGGAACACAACTAGAGAAACTCACTACAGTCAGAGAAGAAGGATCCGCCTGTTATTATGGTTCATAGCAAAGAAGTCAAGCGTGGCATCAAGGTTCAGTGGTACAGCACTTGTATTTTAAAACACTGAAACTCTGTAAAATTACCTGCTAATTGGTAAGGGCTAAATCAAATCTTCACAGAAAACAGGGGAAAAGAAGGTAATGTCAGATTGACTGGAGTGATAATACAATGGCACTTCAGTCTGAGCAGGCTATATGAACATTGTTGTGTCCATGAAACTGTATCGTGTCAGGTGATTGTACCTTTTCTTAGCAGAGTGCTGTTGCCATAGGCCACATACTTCTTCAGCCACCCGGGGAAAATCTGAGTGAGGTACTTCTTAAAGTCTGTTATTCTATCTTTGTCTTTATCCCATATCTGTTTGGTGGTGATAGCCTGTGGTTTCGAAGCGATCCATGTCTCTGTCTTCACGTCGAATACCAAGAAAAAATCTCCATCATAACCATACTGCACAAAAACGTTAACCTCTCCAGTTTCATCATCCCACTCACAACCATTCATCCTCTGTAAAATGTGGATACCTGGGAGAGAGAGAGAGACAACATTATGTACAGATGATATCTCCAGAAAGATTATCTTAAATACTTTATATCGTGCATTGCTTGAAGCACTGCTTCTCCAATTCTTGTGGTATGCTCAAGATTCAATAATAATAATAATCAGTGCTGTTTTTATTTATGTGAGTGAAGTTTAAAAGTTCAGCAGTGTGGGTCCACCCATGGCTTAGGGTTTAGGATGCCAACCAGTGTTTCCTGTCATCTTCTAAAAAATGCATTTTTAAAAGACACAAAACTTTAGATGAGAAGTGGGGCATGAACACTTACCATTCTTTGGTTCTTTGGTTGGACTTATTGTTTAGATTAGATTAGGATAAGGACAGCACCAATCAAGTTTGTACATTTTGTTTTTGGTATATGGTTTCTTTTACAGCCTGTATCAAGGGTGTCACTTTGTGTTGTGTTGTTGTTTAAAGAAATCCTCAATGCCGAGATGTGAGAGCGGTAGGTCTGGGGGGACCTCCCTCAGGAAATTCTGATCTTCACACTTCATTTCCTGCATTCTGGTGAATGTTTCTGCATCAATTTATGGTGGATATGTTTTATTTAAAAGGAAAGGTGATATTTCAAAATATATATATATAATAGAATATAATGTAGTGCAGCTCTCTGTGTTGCTTTCTGATCTGTTTCTCTTGTAGATAAACTTTTCTCATGTAATATTATCCCTGCTGAGGCAACACATATGTAGGCATGGTTTAGTCTCATCTTATGTTATGTGGGAGAGAACAGAAACTTGGCCAAAAACTAACTGTGTCAAGAAGCTGTTAAAGTTACTGATTGTTGGCATGCCAGAGTGGATAGTAAACAAAACCTGCAGGAGCTGGCATGGCTAACAGCAGGCTTCTGATCGTCACTGGAGGGCCCTATAGAGGGTCAGAACAGTTTAGCATCAGAAGTGAAATTACATAGGACATGCAGTACCTCCACTATGGTTGAAGCTCTGCTTCAAACTATCCATCAGGGTTTTGAAGAATACAGGGTCATTCTCAGAACAATGTCGATTGTAGTGTTCCAGGTGCTGTGGATCATCCTCAAACACTTTTTTCATCCAGTCCTGTTTAGGTTTTATTGTCTTTGTGTTGGTATCGCAGTAACCCGCCAGGATTTCGTCAACCACTATGGTTGCTACCAACTCTGGGAAGTTTGGGACTCCAGAAGATGCAGTGAAGAAAAACTTCAGGGTGTGTTTAACTGCAGGACAATCACGGTTTATACATTAGAAAATAAATAATGTATAAAAATACACACATCATCATGATCACCACACTCAACTTAAATATAATGTATTCAGTATAAATCTCAGTATCAAGTAAAAGTGAAACTTGAGTCCTTGAGCAACTAAAAGCAAAATGCAGTGAAGCAAAGAGCTCAAAGTAAATATTTAGACTCTGATCTTACCAGGAGATGAAACATGACAGAAGAGAAACAACAAAAATAATGTTTTCATCTTGCTTTGATAAAGACTGTGGGTAAAGGACAGAGCTGATTCTGCTGTTTTGTCTTTTGTCCAATTGTTCTTCCTCTCAAAGGGAAATGGGTGTTTCTGTTCTGACCAGAGGTGGGTGGATCATGCTTTTCCTTTTCTTTAGGGTTAAAGGCAGCTTGATACCTCAGAGTTGCTTTACTGCCACCTTTTGGACTTAGTTACCTCCTACATTGTCTGGTGTCTCAGATTTTCCCATCAGTCCTATTGTGTCACGGGTTTGTGTGGTGAAGCAGGTTGTGCAGGTTGGAGGACCCAAACGCAGGACACGAAGGCTAGCAGGTGCAGTACAGTGATTTATTTAAGACAACAAAAGACAAGCACACTTACAGACTGAGTGGCTGATTGACAGAGTCCAAAAACAAAGGTTGTCCAACAGAAATCCAAATCAAGCAGGGAAACACAACAAGTGAGGGGGGAAAACAACAAGAGAACATATTGCAGAACTGGGTGATAACGAACAATGACAGAAACACCAGGTATATATACACAGGGACCAACGAGCAGGGCGGGAGCAATACAGGTGAGGAGCATGAGGCTAACGAGGCAGAGAGAGACAGCAGGGAAAACAGAGAGAGACACAGGCAGACAAAGTGACAACTGGGGGAACAGACTGAACACAGGTTACTGAACACATAACAGACCAGAGGAAGAAAAATAAACTAATAAAGACACAAGCAGACAGATCACCACAAACCAGACACACAGACAGTAACAGACCAACCAGCACAAGCACACAGTAAGTGGACACAAGGAATAACTGAAACTCAAAACACGGACTATATAACAGATACTGGACACCAGGCACTAGACAGGACAGAACCCAAAACTCAACATGCTATAAGACAGATAATTAACTCCAAAGTGCAAAACAAGGTATGGCTGACAGGCAGAGTGTGACATATTGGGATTATGCCCTCCTGATTTTGAAAGATTACTGTAGATGTCTGGTTTCTTTTCTAACAGCTGGTTTCACTAGTTTGCCCATGACCCAAATGAGCAGGAACCCAAATCAATGTGACTTTAACATCTTTTTCTTGAATGTATTGCCATTATTTCGGATGGTAAGTCCTGATAAACTAGACAGAGTAGAGTTGACAGACTAGAACTTTGTTTGGCTTGATTTGTTCAATCCCTTTTAAAGCCATCAAAATGGTAACTACCAGTGTACTGTGACAAGAAACTGGAATATTTTTGTTTACTCGTCTTTTTATTTATTTTATTGTATTTAATCAGTTTAATTTAGCAGGGACAGTGCACATTAATAAGCATGCAAATGTGCCAGAGTTAGCCAAAATACAATTTTTCATCTGTAGTCCCTGGATAGTTGTTACATAGTCAACCTTTAAAATTTAAAAAACAATTATAAAATGAATTTAACATTTCATTTAAAATGAAGTCACACATTATGAAGGCAGGCATAACAATGAGATAGAAGAAACACAGACATTGTACTAAAATGCTTTTTCATGGACTTCAAATACTATTAAAAACAAAATGCAACGTGCAACCCAAAGCTCCAGGTTTTTGTTAGGCAATTATTGGTGAAGATTCTTATGCAAGGTAAGCATTGTTGTTCTGATCTTTCTCCCAGTTAACAGTTCTGCTGGACTGAACCATAGTGGTGATACAGGGAGTGAACACATAAGGTTATGTGCTACGGTCTGTACTGCTCTCTCTGCAGGGCCATTTCCTTGAGGATGGTGAGGACCAGATGGCTTTCGTTACATAGAGATAGACAAATCATCAAAAGGATAAAAACACAATAAAGCCCAAAGACCTTTCGCTGAGAGGCTGAGGAAGGTAGTTCACCAGGAGTCTTTTATGATCCTGAACATTTACAGGTGGTGATGTGAAAGGCCTGTATCTGGCCAGGATCATGGATTGACAGCTGGCTCAGCCTGATGGAGAATTTCTCCTTGTTAAGTTTCAAGCCAGCTGACGCAATGCAGTACCTTCTCCAGGTGGGTGTCATGTAGCTCCATCTAGGGCTGGACTGCGACAAATAATCGGCCCTGGCATTTTTTGCCCTGGCGGCCCACTAAAATTGGTTGGATTTAAGGGCTCAGATTAGGGGTGTGATGAAACACTTAGCCCATGAGATGTGACATTGCACAAGATTGGGGCCATGACAACAAGACAAGAATATATTAAAATAGGCCTCCTAGTTAGGAATAAAAATGTATTGATGAAATAGTTGATATGGGGGTCTGGGGGTCCTCCCACTGAAGATTTTGAGCATTAAATATCACAACACAATTTCCTGCATTCTGGGGAAATATAGCAGTAAGAGATGTGATTGGGCCGGCCCAGTGTCAGTATGTCCATGCTTTATCTGCCGATCTTTGGGCCATTGTTTAAAAACAGTTATATATATAAATAAATAGTTTACGTTACACCGGCCCCTAAGGTGCATCGGCCCACCGGGTCCAGCCCTGGCTCCATCAAGCACTCATAGACAATGATTTCATCCATAAAGACCTCGACACCTTCCATTCTCTGGCATTCCTCTCTCATCTTAGGTGTGCTGGAAAGATAGCTGTTTGAAACAGTATCTGCCAAAAGTTATGAATATTGTCAGCTAATGGTTGACTGAATGCAGTGGAATATGACAAAAACCACTAGCAGCATTGAGAGACCAGGTTCATTCATGGACTCATGGACAGGAACACACTGAGTAGATTATTGGCTCTGTCCACTGACTACATAAGCTGTGAATTGGTATAACTTCTTCCTTGTAGTTTACTTAATGAACCTGCCAAACACCCACTCCCTCTCATCAGTTCCCCAGTTCAGCTTTGAGACGCTTCATGGTGCTGCAGTCTTTATGAAACTACATCTCAGTAACGCCTACTACTCAGTCCAAATTCGACACTCGGCATCCCTACTGGTCACTTTGAATGTCTGGTCAGGTCTTTTAGGTTAACACTCCTGCATTCATGCCCCGGTGAATGATGTTCTCCAGGACTTCCTGAACCGTTCTGTGTTCATCTACCTCAATAACATCCTCATCTTCTCCCAGACCCTGAAGGAACACATCCAGCACATCAAGCAGGTGCTCCAAAGACTTTTGGAAAACAAATTGTTTGTCAAAACCAAAAAGTGTGAATTCAGTGTAGACTCCATTGGTTGTCTTGGCTACATCATCGAAAGCTAGCTGGTGAAGATGGAGCAGGACAAGATCCAGGTGTTGACAGAGTGCCCAAAGCCATCTTACCTCTGTTCATCCAGGAGTACAGCCGTGTTGCCGTGCTATTCACCAAACTTTCCTTTCACACAGCACCATTCTCCTGGATCCCACCAGGGCTGGCCCTTGCAATGTTGGCGCCCTAGGCGAGATTTTAAATTGGCACCCCCCCCAATGCTGAACCCTAAAAAGTGCACCTCAGGGGTTGAAGCCATCGCCTATCCTATCCCTATCCTCAAGAATTATTTTATAGGTTCAGCAGCCAAATTCACAATTTTAGCATGTACAGATGAAAAGCCAAGTCAGTAATCATGGTCAATAATGAAGTGTGATCAGCATACTTGTCAACATCATAGCCTAAATTGGGAGACCAAACCTATGCCCCTCCAGAAACTGTGAGTCAACCCAGAGACTGTTTTCTTGGAGTTTTTCTAGAAATGCAAAAGCATCAGTTTAGTTTCAATGGTGGAGATGACTCAGATGAAGTGGAGGGTCCGGGAGTCCTCCCCAAGAATATTTTAAGCATTAAGGACTTTTCCTGCATTTTGGTCAAAATTTCTGCCTTTTCTGCCTCAATTTATGGTGGAAAAGTAGGTGACAATTCAGAATATAAAAGTAAGGCTTTCAGGCATTCTGTAGCTATTGGTTAAATAGCCTATATTTCTCCTGAATCAACTTTTGAGAAAATGAAATGCCATGTTTATGGATAATATGTCCATGGGGAAGCAGATACAAGGTCCTAAGACCGACCCCTGCGGCGCACCATATTTAACTGGACAGAACGAGGAGACATAGTTGTTTACAGACACACAAAACTTCCTATTTGACAGGTAGGATGAAAACCATTCTAGGGCAGTAGCAGAGATCCCCACCCAGTGCCTCAGTCTGTCTAACATGATGTTGTGATCAATGGTGTCAAAAGCAGCGCTAAGGTCCAGGAGTACCAGGACTGAGCACATGCCTTCATCAGCAGACATTAAAAGGTCATTGGTGACTTTAAGCAGGGCAGTCTCAGTGCTGTGGTACTTCCTAAAACCAGACTGAAACTTTTCAAATATTTTATTTTCCAGTACAGTGAGCAGCTGTTTGGAAACAATTCTTTCTAAAATCTTTGCAATAAAAGGCAGTTTTGAAATTGGTCTAAAATTATGTGGGAGGGAGGGATCTAAACCAGGTTTCTTTAAAAGTGGGTTCACGCAAGCCGTTTTAAAATAATCAGGGACACAACCAGTAGATAGGGAGCTGTTGAAAACAGAGATCAAATGGGGCCCAACAGAATCTATTACTTTCAGTAAAAACTTTGTAGGTATTACATCAAGTGGGCTGGAGGACACTCTCATTTGTGATACTGTTTTTAAAAGCTCAGACAACCTCTGAGTAAGAGGCCGTGGGGGTAATAGAGGCTCTGATTGACACCACCTTATTGGTAAAATAAGATAAAAACAATTCACAGTCATCATTACTTCCAGCTGAGGCACAAGGAGGGGTTGGGTTTACCAGCTGATCCACAGTCTTAAACAGAAACCTGGGATTGTGTTTATGTGTAGTAATGAGTTCAGATTAAAAAAAAAATAATAATAACCTCAAATAACCTACGGTTATATATTCCCGGACATTTCATGAATGTGCTTTGATCCAGCATGACCTGATGTGACTTACCCTCCTTGTGGACGGTGGCAGTGAGTGTCTTCTGGTCAACTATCAAGTCAAAACTCTTCTCCATGATTGTGGTTGTGTGTACTGAACCTCAGAGATCAAAGGTTATTCTCCTGTCAACATTTAATTCTTTATTCTAATATTTTGAGATATGGACTTTAGATTTCCATGAGCTGTGAGCTGAAATCATCAAGATTAAAACAAAGAAAAAGCCTGAAATGTTTCACTTTATGTGTAATGAATCTAGAATAGATGAAAGTTTAATTTTTTTACCTAAATTACGGGAAATATACATCTGAGCTGTCCTTTGTCTGGGGTTGGGTTGTGGTTTTGTACTCGCCTCACCGTTTTTCAAGAGATTTTAAGTTGCATCACATCATATTTGTTTTGCAATCCAGGCGTGCAGCTACATAAGTTTCCATTTATGAGAACATCTTCAGGTGACATAACAAGTTCTCAAACAGACATGTAGCCTACATCACAAAAATATGTCTTTATGAAGACATGTAAACAACTTAAATCAGCTTGATAAATTTTAATCTACAGAAAGAAAATAAGAAATGTCTAATAACTAATCAAAGAGGTTAGACATTATCAATCCTGATTGCTGATTAAGTACAAAATGCGCTCTGCTGTTTTTTGTAGCTTTGGTGGAGTGCAATGTTACTTAAGCTAATTTCTTCATGAAGTCTCGTCTAAATCTTGACAACTGAGAACAAATTTTGTACTGTATACAATTACCCTTGCATTTAATTTTTCTAACGTGGTGTGTTTAAAATACTGCTGTGTCGCATTGTGTCTTGTCTTGTTTGTGTAGTTTGTTTTGTGCTATTGTGTCACTGTGTGGGTGTTTGACTGATGATTTACATGCCTGAATGTGAATTTGTTTCGTCACTACAAGGTGTTCTCATAAATGGAAAACTTCAGTTCAGGTACAAAAGATGAATTTACATGGTGTGTCTTGTTATGATGACACACAAAGAACATTATTCATTAGTGAGTGGGAATGTGCAATTGGCATCATCGGTGAGTGAAATTTAATCCAGACAGACATCCATTGATGAGGAGGTGGGGGAAGGCGTGATCCTCAGATTACATTTCATGGAAATAGAAAGTGAAAGTACAGATACTGGATGGAGCTGGAAAGAAACCATTTCCGTTTGCAACAGACTCTTCACAAACACAGGTGAGATAAACTACTGAAATATCTATCTATCTATCTATCTATCTATCTATCTGTCTGTCTGTCTGTCTGTCTGTCTGTCTGTCTATCTATCTATCCAGACGGTAGACATTGGGCCCTGGGGCACAGATGTTTGCTTTTAGTAGAAACGCCATTCTGCTTACAGATGCATTTAAAATGCTTTAAAATGACACAATGAGTCTACTGCCATGCTAGTTTAATTAAAAGGAAACTTGAGAAGCCGGAACTATGAAATGTTTTTACATGAAAAATGACATCAACAATTATCAAAATAGTTGGCAATTAATTTTCTGGCAACAAACGTATTGATCAACTTATCAGCTGTAATTATATGTAAGTAAAAGTAAAAACAACAATATTTCCCACTATTTCCACTAAAATTCTTGACATTTCTTTCTGTATCTCTGAGATCTTTTAAGCCAGTGAGTTCAAAATGTGATCCAGATTAGTTCCATGTGTCTGCTATTAAATGGGGTAAGTGTTATCTCAACACTGACAGAATGACTGGTTTATTAACAAAAACAAGAAGTAAAATGTTACAATCCACCCTATACTCTGGGTCACTTGTAACATACTCTGGGGTGAAATGTAATAAGGAATATGAGAAAAACATGATGTTGAAATCGTTTTATTCACACTTTACAAAAAATGCAAATGAGTACTGTTGTGTAAGGTGAGATAAGAAAGCTTGAACTTTTACCAACATTTTCATTATCAGCAAAAATAGACTCCACTTAGGTCCTCATTTACTAACTGTTTGCCTGAGTAAAAACGTGTGCAAACTTGATAGCACCAGCAAATGAACACGTAAGCTAATCTACCAACTAACTAACGGTGTGCACGCGGAGTGACGTAGTACTTTTTCCTTAATGAATATGAAATTTGGGGCGTAACATGCAAATATATTTATTAACTACTCGCAATGTGATCTACCAAGCCTAAACGCAATTTCATGTGAGTGCAACAGCCTCTGTATTTAATACGCTCGAGAGGACGTTTGATGAACTAGGCTATATGAATAGAAAAGGAATATTTTTTGTATTTTCCTTTAGCTTTGGCCATACTGTTCTATTAACATCCCTGCCAACAAAGCAAATTTCGTTTCGACCTGATTTCTTTTCTCCGTGAGATGGAAGAGTTTAGAAAGTTGCGTGGCGCTGCGGAGAGCTCCCAGCTGCAGTAGAGCACGGATCACGCGTAAAATTCATCCAGCCAGAGGGAACGATCAGCAACTGTTCACAGCGCGCCGGTGTTCTGACGATATATGCTGCCTTGTCGAAAAATGCTACCGTATAGCGCAAATCGATAAAGTCTATCGAGCCGCTCTGCCCTATGAAAAATGCTACCTTATGTGTTCCCTTTTCCAGTCCCATAAAGTTATAACTGTCACAGTATTATGACATCTTCTTTTTTTTATTAAATTATAACATCATTTCAGGGGTAGCGTATTCTGATTAAGACTATCCCCTATCAAATAATGTTCCCACTACAGAATCACCACTACTCACTGTAAGGAGATGGGAATGAAATACTATATCTTGCCATCTTTATTTAAGATATCAAGGTAATGTATTCTGATAGACTAACACTGATTTTTGTTTTTGTATTGCTGACGATCAGCCACTGTCTCGACGGCCTGCCCAACCGCAAGGTTGCACATAATTATGGGCGTAGAAATAGACCGTGCTTGTGGGGGGTACGCATGCGCAGCAACACAACCAATTGTAGGTATCGGATAGGGCTCGGGACAGGAGATCTCGGAGCGACCGGGCACGGAGCGGACGGTCGGCGATTGTTCCATGTGGCTGGATGAAGCACGATCTTCTGGCATTTCTCGCGTCTGGGTCATTCCAGCATACTGTAGCTGTTTCTGCTTGGGTTTCCCAAAGCAATCTCAGGAAGGATGGGCCGGTACATCCGATTTCCACATACTCGGGACGCACTGAAAGAAACAAACCAAAGTTTTTACGCTGTGGCTGCTTTCCCCCCTGACTCTCCATGGCGGAAACCATTAAAACACGCAAAACCCTAATTTAAATACTCCCACCTCCATTGTGTTTGCTCCTGATGTAATCTACGCAATAATTCTTAGTAAATCACCCGTAACAGGTCATAAAATTGCACGTACAATATTTTAGAATGCACACGCAATTTAGCACTCTTTATTCGGGATGTTAGTAAATTGGGCCCTTACAGTACAAAAGTTTCACCGGAGTGTGTCAGAGATCGATGCAGAACAGAGCCCCATTCTGTTACCAGAACAGCGACCCGAGTCGACATGAAAACCATGTAACAACTTTCACCTCCTGTTGGACTTCCTTTTATTGCTCTGTTTCTTGGCATCACATACTGTCTTGGCTCTCTTTTCTGCTGATCTGGATAAGTCCCACATTTGTGCGTGCCTCAGCTGCCACCACGACCACTGCTTTCCATGCTTTCAGCTTTTGGTGGATTTGTATCACTTTTATTTCACTGTTTTGGATGTCTCTCTTTTCTCATTGCTTTCCAACCTTTGGATTTTTATTTAACTATGATTGTTTTTGACTGCACTGCTCCCTCTCTCTGTGTCCTAGGCATGACCTCTGCTGATCATATTATTTCAACCATAATCTGACTTTGTGGAATAAACTGGTGTTGTTTGTGCTCTGTGCTAGAAACAGGAAATTCTTACTGTGATGGACGATATTGATATATGTTTTGTTTCACAAAATCTGCTTCTACATTTTCCTTTGCTGGTGTTTTTGGTGCTGTGTGTCTGCCTCTACCTTTGCCAAAGCTCACATGCTTGCTTACACACACACACACACACACACACACACACACACACACACACACACAGAGCTATAGAGTTCTAACACTGTGATCCTAACTTTATACTATAATTAAGATAAAAATAACACATTAAATGATGAGAATGTAGACCACCATCACTCTAAAAATTATTAATAAAAACTTAGGCTATAATGCTCTAAAAATGATACACAACAGTACCAATTGAATATTAGTGTTTGTGCTTGTTTGTCTTGCATTGTCATAGTGGAGTTAGAAAAATGGCTCTCCTGGAGAAAACATTTAAATACAACAAACATAAATATGACTCAACATTTTCAAGAATCTATACAAAGCAGAATCCAAACAGGCAGAGTAATAATCCAAAATATAACAGAGCACGGCATAACAGAGCACGGCAGAACACGCAAGATTAGACGAGGAGGCAACAATGACTGAACAGAACTAAAGGCTTAAATACACAGGCAAACGAGCAGGGAGGGAGTGCACAGGTGAACGACATGAGGAACTAATTAGGCACAGCAGACTCAGGACAGAAACAGGACTAAGTGCAACAGCAAGGCAAACAGACCGGTAAACTAATAATACAAATAAACTACAACCTAACAGGGAAACTGACAGAACACAAAGCAGACAAGACCAAAATAATACAAACACAAAACCAGGAATAAATACAAAGACATGAACTAAGACACAGAACTAAAATGCAGGACTAAAACTAAGATACGAGACAAGACAGGTACTAATTGAGCTAAACATGCAAATGAACAAAAGAATAAACAAGGCTACAAAGAAGAAACACAAAACCCCAAATCATGACAAGATCAAATAAACTTACAGAAACACAACCCACAACCAAACCTATGAAAACAGACTGACACAGGAAAAAACATGAACACAACCCAAACTCCTAACACACTAGCACTAACAACTTGCTATAAAGATCTCTACACAGACACACAATGAACATGATTTAAGTTTGATGAGTTTAACTACAAATCAGGTAATGCTATAACAAAAATAAATGAAGAAAAATAAAAACTTTGTTACCTCAAATTTATTTTTTCCCATCTAAACGTGGCTGTGCTGCCACGGAGTGCTACTTTTTCACATGTGGTATAAGGAAGAAACAGAGCATGTGCATAGTGAATCAGACAATACATTACTTGTTCCTGATTGGGAAAATTGGCCGTGTTACAACCTATGATTGCAACTTAACTGTGTTACAACCACAGGTATCTCAAATGTATTCTATACTAAGTATGGTTCTTGGATAAATGGGCTTAGTTAAATTCCACCACTGGTTCTTTGTACACAGTTACGGCTGAGACGAGTGAATTATGGACAGACAGAACAGAGATGAGAAACTCAGAAAGGGCATTCCGATTGAAGCAAAGCAGTGTGAGGTCGACGTCAGAGAAAAGTTGAGTCCTCCAGGCCTCAAACCAGCAAAACAGAGGCAGAAGGTTAAGCAACAACAAGCAGGTGATGCTGCAGTTGAAATATTTTTTACAATTCATAGTGTATAAATGTTGCATTTTGTTGGAGATTTGGAGGCGTTGTTATATGCTGTCCTCTGTGGCGTCCTTGTCTGTGTCACATTGCAGAGGAGGGATCCAAAGTGATTGAGGAGTGGGTCTCCCCAGAGCTGGCCAACAGGATCATACGCAATGCTAAAGACCTCAAGATCCGACAGACGGACCGCCGCTGGGCTGCAGAGGTGGTCAACGATTTCCGAGAGAACCTGCTGAAATTCCTGAGGAGCTGTGATCAGCCTTTCTTCCAGACAGCTGACTTCGTCACCAGCGGCAGCTACTTTGAGAAAGTTAAGGTGAGGTCATGACGACCACTCACAATCTCAAAAGGCAACAGTACGGCCAAAGATTTGTATTCTGTGACTCTTTAGATCAGATTTTGCGGAAAGACAAAGGATTTATTACAGAGATTTAAACATCAAGTGGCCGCTTTATTAGGTACACTGGTACAATCTATTGGAATTCAATACAACAGCTCAGCCGTAAATTCTGCCTTTACATGGTTTATAATGTTCAGTTATTGTTATTTATTGTCAGAAATGTGTATATTCACAGTTAAAGGTGGTGTTGCACTGGATGACATTATATTAAGTCCTTCCCATTTTACATACATGAGGGGGAGCAAAATTACTGAAACACCTATTATAATGCAGCCCAGTAAATACCACCACTAACTATGACCTCAGTGTTAAAACATATAATTTAATTAACAGTTTTTTGACAGTGTGTTATGAAATTTGCTGATGATACTGCGATCCTAAGCCTTTTGCATAAAGATATGGACTCTGTGTACCAAGACAAGGTAGACCATGGTGTAATACAATCAATCTCATTTTGAACATCAAAAAAACCCCACAGGAGATAGTCTTCAACCATGGCCAGTGGTCATTAAAACACACATGCCTTTGGTGTGAGAGACCCGGGTTCAATTCCACTGTGACACATCCGCCAATGTGTCCCTGAGCAAGACACTTAACCCTTGTTGCTCCATTTGCTTGCGACCTCTGACATACATAGCAACTGTAAGTCGCTTTAAAAAAAAAATAAAGCGTCATGAATAAATGTAAATGTAATTAAAAACCAGGAACTCAGGTGCACTCATACAAATATTTATGTGTCCAAGTTGACAGCTTTCTTTGCGCGAAGACACATGTTGACAACCTGTGTAACAAAATGCCGCAGAGGCTTTATTTTCAAAGGTGTTTAAGGTTGTACATACAAACTTAGAGTGTTACTAGATATGGAATTACTGAATGGTTGCAATGTGCAATAACCACACTTGTACTTTAATCCATGGCACCATGTTGTCAACAACTTCTGTTTTCATGTTTTCCTCTTGTGAAGTACATGTCAATGCATCTCAGGTTCTTGTTGATGTAATGTTTGTTTATTTGAAAAGGGACAATGTACATTGATCAACATTCAAAGCACATGTAAATGCACCTGAGTTAGCAACAGGCTAGTTTTCATCGGCAGTCCCCTTGCCAGATGTCATTGGGCATCCTAAAGTAGTAAACTATTATAATACAGCAAAATACATTATACAAAAGTTAAAAATTACACAAAAAATAAAATAATCGATTAAACAAGATGATCAGATAAAATGATGTTGTTGTTGGTGGATGGGACCAGCGTCAGTTTGTTTTCAATAAGCCATCTCTTAACATTACTCTTAGATGAGTAATAGGATGGCGACTCTCTAACTGATGGTGGTACTGTGAATGAAAAGATGGCCTGGCTAAATGTAGTGTGTTTTTTTGAGTGGGATTGTGCAGTCCCTCCTAGCGGCTAGGTTCAGAGAGAGAAAGTAAACATGCCCTAGACAAAGAAGCAACGCCGCTCTCTCTGTGTGTTGTTGGATGTCCATACTCCTCAGATCAACGTCGCCGATGAGTTTGACATGATGCTGAAGCTCCAGGCTCCTTCACGCCTCAACATGATGGAGCTCGATGGCGGGCTATTCTACCGGCTCGATTTTACCCGTCCCACTCGGAGCCCCATACAAGCCTTTTTTTTGGAGAACAAGCGCACGCTCTCATCAAGCAAGATCTTGAGTGAGATGCACCGCCTGGTCCGCAAGTTCCTTAAGAACTACCAAGGTCTGATCACCACCTTTCCTCTCTCATCTGTTCTTATTAGTTTGTGCCAGTTATCTGGTTTCTCCTTCTGCTTTCTGTTGTTGCTGTTTGTGTCAGAATCAGTACAGTTGGAGATAACAGGACTTCACTTTCTTCACTGTCTCCATCACACTCTTGGAACCACAGAGTCGAACTACTTATGGCCTTTTTTCACTTTTCCTTGTTTCCAGTGCCTGATGAAAGCTATCGCTGGGAGGTGAACAGGAAGCGTCCAAACTCGCCGGCTGTGACTTTGTCTCTGTTTCCAACTGAAAAGAACGGTGAAGAGCTGATCTCTGTGGACGTGGTTCCTGCTCTGGAGGTGATCCTTTTATCTGTAAATGTTTTAATATCGAGCTGGAGAAATAAAATCATCCATAGTTCTTGGATTAAAGATAGGCTAATGATGAAAACAAACTTAAAATTTTTGTATGAATCAGGAGATTAGAGGTGGGAAAAAACAATAAAAACATTATTTATATTACTGTATATACCTGAACAGCTAATGAAGAACTTGTTTTCCAAATATTTCAATATCTTTGTTTTCTTTAACAAGTCACTTCAGTTTTACGGCTACATTTACTAGTAATTTTACAGACTTGATACAGTGCATTATTGGATTATCAGTGTAGTTGTATCAAGTACTTCTACACTCTTTGGTTGTTTAATCTGTAACAATGCCTCATATTTTACACTTCTGTCACAGGTTTGTAGGAAAGAGCAGGTAAGAGGACCCAAACGCAGGACACTGAGCGGGTCAAGTTCAAAAACGGTTTATTTGACCAACAGAAGGCAAGCCCACTTACTTCAGAGTGGCTGAGTACAAAATCCAAAATAAAGTGATCCACAAGAAAAATACAAAATCCACAAAACACCGGGAAACAGGAAAACGCAACGAGACAGCGTTAGGCAGGCTACACACTACAATACACTGCAATGACCAAACAGAGACTGAACAGAAACAACAAACACTTAACACCAGGGACTAACGAGCAGGCGGGAGAAACACAGGTGAGAGGAATCAGGACTGACGAGGCAGGCAGGCAGGCAGAGACACAGCAGGGGAAAACAGAGAGACCGGCAGATTACTAGGGGAACAGACAGAACAGATGTTACAAAATACCAGACAAGAATCTAACTCCAGACAATAACAGAAACCCATGTAAACAAACACCAACCATAACAGACAAAACCTAAACGAGAACACAGAACTACAACACAGAATACAGAGCAGACTAAACTAAAATAATGCAGACAAAGAACTAGAAGTAAATACTAAGACAAGAACTAAGGCACAGGACTAGGAACAAATATATCGAACCAAAACATAGACTAAATAACTAGAGAACTAAACTCAACAGTACAGATGACAGGACTATAATGCAGATACCAGAAAACCAACCTTAGAATCAAAAACCAAAACCCAGAAACATAGAAACAACAATCAAAATATAGCACACAGGGAACTCAGGACAGAATCGTGACAACTTCACATGTAAAATAACTAGTAACCGGCCTACTTTTGCACAGTACTGTGTGTGTATGTGTGTGTGTGTGTGTGTGTGTGTGTGTGTGTATATATATATATATATATATATATATATATATATATATATATATATCATTTGTCCTTGTTCCTGTGTTTAGGTTCACCCCACTCAGGGCTGGCCGCTCGCACTCCGTAACGGGCCAGATGTGGACAACTGGTTGGGAAAG